CTTTTCAAATTATCCCATAATTCTTGGAAGTTCTGTTCATGTTTTCTTACCATCTTCATTGTGTGGTTAACTTCATTTTTAAGATTATATATATTTTGTCTTCATTGTCTGAGGTTCTGTCTTCAAGGGGTCTAGTCTATTGGTGATGCTTTCTTTTGAGTTTTTATTTGGTTTATTATTTCCTTCATTTCAAGGATTTCTGTTTGTTTTTTTTCCCCCAGAATTTCTGTCTCTTTTTTGAAGTAATGTTTTGCTACCCACATTTGCTTTCTTATCTCTTTATTGAATTGATCATTTGCTGCCTGCATTTGCTCTATTATATCATTCTTTACTTTGCAGATCATTTTAATCATGTACATTATGAACTCCTTCTCTAACGTTTCTTCTACTGTGCTGTAGCATCTTGGTTTATTTGAGGGCATTTTCTTTCCTTGTTTTTTCATGTTGTTTGTGTGCCTTCCTCTCTAACAGTATGGATCCAAGGTGTTATAATTTCGACCCCATAGACTTATGGTGTCCCTGCAGTTTTCCAATACCCTACCCTTAAAGGGGAGAGCAATATTAACAGCATCCAGTGCAAATACTATGCAGTGTTAAAAACAATATCTCTATTAAGACGTTTACAGTTTTGTTGCAATAAACAGAAATGATGTATTCTATCATTATCTACAATATAAACAGTATGTTTGCATAAGAATCTATAGATTGTAATGTTGGACAAAGAGAGAATGGCGGGTGTAGGATGAGATGTTAATGAGGGAGTGATAATATAGAGGCATTAAATCATAGGAAACATGAAAGAGGTATCTAAAGAAGTTGATTCTTAACAGGAGAAGAGAGAGAAAGAGACTCTGGGGAAACACATAAATGAGGCAAACATAAAGAGTGAGTTAAAAAATAAAAAGAAAAGGGAAAAATGTAAAAATAAAAGAATATACAATAAATTGTAATATACTATTTAGATATCCCAGTTCTCAGTAGCCTGATGCATGAAAAGTACTTGGTTTCACAATATTGGGGCTGTGAGGACAGGAAAAGAAAAAAATCACTAAGGAAAATTGAACAATTGTTTCTGTTGGAGTTCAGTATCTTCCCTGCTTTCCTTATTTGATAGATGGGGTTTTCTGGAGTTTGCTGGTATCTCCACCCTCAAGATGGTGAAGGTTACTAGAGTGGGAGGGTCAGAGTTGGAGGTGGAATTCCTGGAGGCAGAGCATAGCAATTGCCAGTCCCCATTGGAACACTGCACCCCAGGACTCTCCTTTGGGATAGCTCCTTTGGAGTCCAGTTGTGTGACATTGTATCCTCGTCTTAGCCCCTTACATCATCTGTGGACCCTACAATTCTTAGTCTCAAATTTAGTGTCTAAACTGTATCTCTCCCATCCCCATACTTTAGACTTCCCAATCAGGAATCTTTCTCTCTAGAGGTCCTGAGGGCTGAGTGCCAGGATCTGCATGCCTGTCATGGAGACCTGTTCTGTATCAGGCAGATCAGGACCACGCATTGAGAGCTATTGTCTGCTGCAAGCACTGGGCTGGGTTAGTGGTTGGAGATACCTTGATGTTGGGCTTCTAGATCCTGGCCAGTGTCCCAAAATGAAAGCTGTCCCATGTAAAGATGGTGATAGCAATGGCGACAGTGGAGAACCCAAGATGGCGGCAGAGGTGTCCCAAGATGGAGGTGACTGCTTTCAGAGATGGGGTAGCGAATGTGGGCCCTGTGGTGGCATTGTCTGGCCCATTCAGAGATATAGCACTGTGCCAGACGGTGCTGTGGCAGGTGGCTGCCTCCAGGCTCTGTCTTGTGTCCTAAGGTGGAGGCTACCACATCAAGGGGGCTATGGTAGTGGCTGCAGTGTCCCAAGATCTGAATATTGCTACTTTAAAAAGTATTTAAAAATTAAGCAACTTTGTTGTATGTATTGGGACTAGAAGTTATTTCATTAAAATCCATCTGTGTTCTTAATTTATGCTTACTATTTTTATTTTTACTATTAAACCAGAGCGTTATGCATCCAAGGCAAGCACTCTACCAACTAAGCTATATCCCCAGCCCTGCTTAGTATTTAAAAAAAATTTTTTTTTAGTTGTTGATGGGCCTTTATTTTATTTATTTATATGTGGTGCTGAGGATCAAATCCAGTGCCTCACACAAGGTAGGCAAGTGCTCTATTGCTGAGCTACAACCCCAGTCCTTACTATTGTTTTGTGTTTTTGTTATGCTTACTATTTTTTTTGTTTTTATTCTGAAATATCTTAGGAACAAAGAAGTGAGTTTTTTTCTGTCATTGTATTCTGGTGATAGGATTGAATTATAAGTTATTTTTTTTGTTCTACTCTACTTTATAAAAATGTTTTAATTCATTCCTGCTTACCCAAGTTTAGTGGAATAGAAATGCATAGATCAAAGATGAGCTTTCTACATATGTATTCTAATCCTGAGTGTTGTAGCTTAGATTAGTAGGGAGGTGAAGTGAGTTATACTAAGATTAGGGCCCTCAAATTTTTATGTTTCAGATTTTCATATTTTTATTGTTTCAGATAGAAATAAGATCTTTTTAGGGTTTCATAAACTATTAAGAAGTCTTTCATTGAAATTTCTCAACAAGTAATTAATATTTTTAAAAATAATATCAAGTGGCCTTAGGGGTTGAAGCATAAAAAGCTTGTATTTTCTATGTTTCTGTTTCAAGATGATAGATGTTTACAAAATTACTAATATTAATTCACAAGCACTAGAATTAGCAATTTTAAAGGATAAATATGTTGAATTATAATCATGCACAGTTTTATACTTTTAGGCAACAAAAAATAAATATTAATAATAATATTTTTATTTAGCTACTACATTTTCTCCAAGATTGTTTTCAGGCTGGAGAATTTATTTATTGAAGATTTTGGAAGGTTGTTTCTGGATAATATTGTTGATAGGTAAGCTAGTAGTGACACTTTATGTGTGCTATTGTCATGAGAGAATTGAGTGTAATCTAATTGTTGCATATGATCTGAGAACTAAGAGAAACATAGATTTAGCACAGTGGATTATATTAGGTTTGGTTACTTGTGACAAAATTTACAATGAAATAGGAGCCAGTTTCTTTCTTATGGTCAAAGATTTGGAGATAGCCTCATGGCAGCTCAGTGATTAGGAATCCAGCTCCTGTTTTCTTGCTCTTGTGTCTTTTTTTTTTTTTTTTGTGTGTGTGTGTGTACTAAGGATTGAACTCAGGGTCACTCTAAGAGTCTCACCAAATGGCCCAGGCTGCCCTTGAATTTGCAAGTCTCTTGCTTCAGCCTCCTGAGTTGCTGGGATTACAGGCGTGTGCTACCATGCATAGTGTCATGTCATTTTTTTAGCTTTCCATTTCACAATATTTCCTGGTGTTGAGGGTCACAGCCAGTCCCAGTGGCACCTGGCATTTTGCCAGAGGGAGTGGTTGAGAGGTGACACCAGCAAGCCATTGAGATAATGATGGTTAAGTTAAGCTGTGTATTCAGTTGTATATAGAACTTTGCTGCTCCTGCTGCCTCAGGCGCCTGCTACTTTGGAGTTCCCACTACTTTGGACCCTAGATATTAGAAATTCTCTAATTGACTGCTACTTTCCTGCTAACCTTTACCAATCCCTGGGCTCTTAGAGGACACTAAAGAACATTATACCCCCTTTTTTTATAAAATTGTACCTGTGTATACATGCATGGATTTTATTAGGATTGTTATCTCTGAAATCTATCCATGAACTGTGGCCTGTTTTTTTTTTTTTTTTAATGAACCCACTGTTAAGATTTCCTATTAGAGTATTCCACTGTAAGAGTTCTTTTTTTTTTTTTTTTTGAGAAAATTTCTCTGTTTATTCACTCACAAGTTGCTAGTGTGCTCTGTTATCCAGTAAATACAACAGCTTTTAAAGATTAAAGGACACCATGATAATCTATTAAGTGCTTACCATGTGCCTGACATGGAACTGTAAGCCTTAAGTACATTATTACTTTTCTCCGTTTTATAGTGTGAAAATAATCAACCTTAGGATTTATAGCTAGTGAATGCTGGAGCTTATATTTGAACCCAGGTCTAACATCAATATCCTTTTTTAGTTATCATAAAATAGACACTTTACTATAAGCATTAGATACATTGAGGAGAAGGATTTTTAACGGTTCAGTTTCAAATTCTTGCCTTGATTTATATAACTAGGAGTCTCTTTGTGTCTTAGTTTTTTATTACTGCTTTGCAAAACCACTTAAATTGTTGAAGTATATGATGATGCTACTCTTCTGATTTTGTATTTTTTAAACCTATATTGCAATCAGTAAGAAACAAGGCATGTGACAAATGCCAACCAGCTATCTAAACTAAGAGCCATACAAAATGATCATATTTGAAAATGTCTTCTCAGCATTCAAATTGTATATATCATTAAAACATTCTGTGAAAACCAACATTTCATTACCTTGTAAAGTGGAACTCGCTGTTGCTGTGAGTTCTTTTTTCTCCCAAGCGTGCTGTCATGGACGCAGTTGGCATCACACATGTACTTGAATATAAAAGCTTTTTGCTTTAAGCTGAGGTTTTTGACCCCATTGATAATACAGACATTCTCATAATTTTCTCTCTTCAGCCCCTTTATGAACTAAAAAGAATAGAAAAGGGAAAATTATGAGTAATTATAGTATTAAATTACTATGGAAAACCATTTGAGCCCTTTAAAATTCTCTTTTCAAATCACCAGCTTCTTAATAGTAAAATTCTTACATTGACAGGTTCTAGATTATGAGTACGCCTTTATTTATCAACTGATACCTCTGCCTCTTGTTTTATCAAAAACGTTCTTTTCTTGCTTATTTTCACTATAGAGGCTAGGTGTGACTCCAGAAGTTTTCATAATAAGCAAATAGGCAGTAGTAGGCCAGCTGCTGCTTTCTAATCTCTGGACACAAACTGTCATGAAGCAGCATTTGGTTGTTCTTTCTGTAAGTGTTGATTCTTATTTAATTCTAGGGCGATTTGATGAAACTGTTATTGAAGAGAGAAGACAGTGTGCTGAAGACCTGCTACAGTTCTCTGCCAATATTCCAGCTCTTTACAACAGTAAACAGCTTGAGGATTTTTTTAAGGTTTGATAGTCTTCTGGAATATTTTATATCATATTGGAATATTTTTATTTTCTAATTTGTAGTAAATTCAAGTAGAAAATTCATTTCCTTTTGAATTTCATTGTTCACTAAAAATGTAGAAGTTAATTTCTAAATAACCATGTCTGTGGCATATCTTGCTTTTAGCATAAAGAGCTATAGAGTTTTTGATTGAAAGATCTTAAAAAATTGATGCAAAGGGCTTAGGGATTTTCGAATTCAATCACAATTGGAATACATTAAAATTTGGTATCATGAAACTCTTTTTCTTTTTGAGGTATATTTCAGTGGCAGACTTCTCTTTGAGATATAAAATCCTACAAGTCCATATTACATTTGTTGTAATTATGTTGGTTTGTGTAAAGATATAAAAAATTAGTCTTTGCACAGTTTTAGAGAGGTAGGCCATTACACGTAGTATTATCTGAGATCATTGAATATTAATGTTTTGAGTTTTTTGACATAATGCTTTAATTTTGAGTTATTTATCATTTTTAATAATTATTTTCTAATATATTTTCAACTTAACCTGTGCAGGTTGTCAGTTTCTTTCACTGTTTTTACCCCCACAGTTTTCCTATTGCATTTAGTTAGCCTTTTAGAAAAAAAGCTAGGTGATGGTTTTATCATTGTTTTTTTCCTTTTTTAATTTTAGCTGAAAATACACTGGTTTGTATATATTAAATTTCTTAGAATACATAACTATCATGATATATCAGTAGTGGGGTATTTAATTTTACTGGTGCTAGTGAATCTCTACACAAGGAATTCATTTTTTATGACCTAATTTAGTTTACTGAAGAAATATGATCTTTTGAAAGACATTGCAGACTTATGACTTAGAGTAATAGAAATAGTAATAGAAAATTTTGTAATGACTAGGTGTAGTGGTGCAGACCTGTAATCCCAGCAATTTGCTGAGGCAGGAGGATCACAAGTTTGAGGCCAGCTTGGGCAATTTAGTGAAACTGTCTCAAAAAATGAAAGTGGGTGGGGATATGACTCAGTGGTAGAGTGCCTCTGGGTTCAATCACCAGTATCTGAGAGAGAGAGAGAGGGGGGGGGAGAGGGGAAGGGGGAGGGGGAGGGGGAGGGAGAGGGAGAAGGAGGTTTGTATTAATTAAATTCTTTATGATTGACCTTGTTGCTTACTTTTTCATTACTCTGCAAACTAGACTGAGATCATAAATTTGGTTTCTGCTAATTCCCCAGTGCAGATCTTTGGGATAAAAGGCCAAGTCAAATTGATACAGTATTTGACCCTTTGCTATTCTCTGTTATAGTTTTTTTCCCCCCACTATCTGACAGAGAATCAGTACTTACAGAAAAAGGCTATTACTATTAAGCAAGAAGATTTTTTCTTTATAGAGGTGGTGAAAGGTATAGAATTAAAAAAATCAGTTTGGGAATTAATAGAAGTCAAATTATAGGTTCTAAACAGTTTAAATAAAAGTTTCCTGTTTGTTCCATTTCTTTTGGATTTGGAATGCCTGATTATAATTGCTTCTGGAAGGATTTTTACACTTTAGGAAATGAGACCTTATTTTTAGGGTTCATGAAAAAATTGACAGTTTTAAGAGGAGTCATAGTAATTTTGGAAAATATCTTGGAACTATTTTAAGCAGTGCTGGACAGGAGCAGGATATGACAGTAGTTTTAGTCTTTTGAAATAGAGAAAATATGGTCTTTAAGGTTATTTAGCTACAAGCAGAGAAAAAAAAAAAAAGCTTGCCTCTTGTCTCATCCAAGAGGTCTGAGTGAGGAAGGTAGTTACAGGTTGGTATAGAGTTTAGGAATGTTATCAAGTATCTAGATTTCTGGGTTTGAGTATAAAAAGCAAAGTGTCAAAAGAAATATGCTAGCTTTTACAGAAAGAATGTCTAGAGGTAGTTCTTATATCTCTTTGACCAGAACTGGGTCACATGACTATCCTTAATTTGAAGGAGATCACCAGAAGATGATTTTTAGCTTTCTGATTCTGATCATGGTTGAAGATGGGGTAGTGAGGGGAGGTTTTAGGTTAGTCAGTCTGTAGGGTATGTGCCTCAATAACATTTTTTTTTTCTGTTTGTAGGAACACTGATGATATCACACACAAATGACCATATAGCCACTTGTTTAGGCTGAATTTTTTGGTTTTTGGGTACCTGGGGTTGATCTCAGGGCTCTCCACCACGGAGCCACATCTCTACCCCTATTTTGTATTTTATTTAGAGACAGGGTGTCACTTTACTGAATTGGATAGTGCCTTGCTTTTGCTGAGGCTAGCTTTGAACTCATAATCCTCCTGCCTCAGCCTCCTGAGCTGCTGGGATTATAGGTGCGAGCCACTGTGCCCAGCCTGACTTTTCTTTAAAACATTCTTAAGAGTTGAAGGAATAAAATAATGGATCTGTGTATTACTCCTCATTTACCTTCAAAAATTAATAGTATAGGGGCTAAGGCTGTAGCTCAGTGGCAGAGCAATTGCCTAGTGCATGTGAGTCACTGGGTTCGATCCTCAGCACCATATAAAAATAAACAAATAAAATAAATGTATGCTGTCCATCTACAACTACATAAATTATAAATTATATAATTTATAATTTAAAAAATGTTACCAGACATTAAAAAAATTTAACAGTATATCGCCAATCTTGTTTGACTTATGTTTTTCCATCACATATTATTTAATGGTTATTTATTATAGCTTTATAGACGTAACTTAAAATTTACTAGTTATTAAAAGTATGCAATGAATGCGCTGACTTTCGTTTACAGACTTGTGGAGTTATTGCCACCAATCAGTTTTAGATCATTTCCATTACATCAAAGAAGTTTCCCCATTTCTTCTTGCCAGTGTTCCCCTTTCCCATTACCAGCCCTGCACAGCCACTGTTTCTGTCTATAGATTTGCCTTTTTTCAGTGTTTCAGATACATTGAATCATATGATAAGTAGTCTTTTGTTCTAGTTCCTTTCACTTAGCATGTTTTTGAGCTTCATCCATGTTATATCTTGTATCACTATGTCATTCTGTATATTATTCACTGTATATTGCTGGATAGTTTTCTGTTAGTAGTTTCCCTCTTATTAGTTCCTAGCTGCTTTATGGATGCTTGACACTGTGGGAATACCAAACCCTATATAAGCTATGTTTTTTCTTGTTTATACCTATACAGTTCAATTTATGAGTTAGGCAATAAATGATTAGCAACAATAATAGTAAAATACAAAAATTATAGCAATATCCTATGATAAAAGTTGTTAAAACTTATAAATTGTTTATTTCTAGATTTTTTTCATAAAATATTTTCAATCTGCACTTGATGGTAAATGCAAAGCAAAGTTGTAGATAAGGAGAGACTTCTGTATTGGATTATACCATATCTTGTTTGTTGACAAGTTGAAGGACATTGAGTTATTCTAGCATTGGCTCTTACAACTTAGGCTACTGTGAACATTTATGTACATATCTTTGTGTGGATATATATGTTTTCATTTTACTTGGGTAGATTGTGAGGACTGGAATTTCTGAATCTTAAGTTTATGTATTAAAGAAACAGCCAAACTGTTTCCTGAATTAACTTACCATTTATATTCCCCAACAATGTGTGGAAGTCCCAGTTCTCTTACAACCTTACCAACACTTGGTATGGTCTGATTTTGCTTTTCTAATGGTGTAACAATGTTTAATGTTTTCCTGTGCTTATTCATATAAGTTCTTTGGTGAAATGTCTGTTAAAAATATGCTTGTTTTTTGATTGAGTGGCTCTGAATATATTCTGGATAAAAGTCTTCTATTAGATATAGGATACAATCCTCAGAACAGTACGACATTATTATCCCTGTCCGATATGGGACTTGTAAATATTTTCTTTGAATCTGTGGCTTTGTCTTTTCATTTTCTTAATGGGTGCTATTTGAAGAATAAAAATTTCCAGTTTTTAATAAAGTATAATTTATCAGGTTTTCCATTTTTCATGGATTATGCTATTTTTGGCATTTCTAGAGCTTTTTGATTTACCCAAGGCTATGAAGATTTCCTCCCTAGATGGTTTAGTTTTACGTTTAGGTCTTTGATCTGTTTTCAGTTAATTTTTATGTATGGATTAAAGCAACAGTGTAAATTCATCTTTTGTGACATGAGATCTAATAGTCTTGGCACCATTTATTGAATAGATTCCTTTCTCCAGTGAATTGACACTATTATTGAAAATAAATTGACTATAAATGTGATGGCTTATTTTTGGACTGTTGATATGTCCTATTAATTCGTGCTTATTCTTATGCTAGGACCATACTGCTTTGATTACTATAGCTTTATAGGTTTTGAAGTCAGATAGTATAAGTTTGCCTACTTTTTGCTCAAATTGTTATGGAAATTTTGAGCCTGTTGAATTTACATAAAAAAGTTTGGCATCAGCTTGTTCATATGAACAAAAATTTTCATAAAATTTAATTTGAAAGTACATTAACTTTGTAGTTCAATTTGGGGAGAATTGTCATCTTGACTATGCTAATCCATGTACATGAAATGACTCTCCATTTATTCAGATGTTTTTAATGTCTCTCAGTAGCATTTTTTAATTTTCAAGGTATAAGTCTGGTATTTCTTGTGTTACTTTTATTACTCAGCTTCTTGGAATCTAGTAGTGAATGGAATTCACTTAGTATGATGCTTTAAAGATTCATCTGTGTTGTAGCATAGTACTTTATTTTTTTTATGCCTGTATGATATTCTTTCATATGGTTATGGATATGCCACTTTAGGTTTGTTTTTGTTTACTAGTTAAAATTTTGGCTATTTATGAATAATGTTATTATGAATATCAGTGTATAGTTTTTATATGGATTGTGAAAATTTTGTTTCTCTTAGGCCTGGGAGGAGCAGAATTGTTGTGGGAAGATTTTTAATTTTAATTTATTTACTTATTCTTTGTTCTGATTTTTTTTTCTTCTTTTTGTGTCAGCATTGGTAACATGTCTGTCTAGGAATTATCACCAAAATTATATAATTTGTTGGTATAAAGTTGTTCACAGAATTCTCATAAAACATTTTTAATTTTTAAAGTCTGATCTTATTTATTGCTCTTAAAAAGCCTTATTATTATTATTATTTTTTACTTAACTCAAATTTAGAAGTAGGAGCTCTCAGAGAGGACAACCTGTGTTTCTTTTCAGTCTGTTGCTGTCATTTTTCTTTGTCCTTCATTTTCTTGGCTAAAAGTTTAGCATATTGTGCAGCTTCTTGTTTTCTTTAGTGGACCAGTTTTTCAGAGCAATGTACTAGTGTTTGTCCTGCAGGACATGTGGAGGAATAAGATACTTAATCTTAGGGGGCTTGTCTTCTTTATTAAAGGACTTTCTTAAAACTGTTGGCTGTCAGGAGCTGCAACACAGAAGTGAGCATGGACCCTTAGTCTTGAGTGACAGGTGTGAGAATGGTTTCAGCTGCTCCAGGAAACAGGTGGATCTCACCTCTGCTCAGTAGGAGAATGAAGCTCTGGGAGTGGGTGTCACCCAGTGAGACTGGGCTGCACCCCCTGAAACTCAATCCCTTTGCCTCATTTGGGAAGAACTTTCTTAAGTGTCTTCCCCTCAATAAAGAGGGTCTCAGGTGTGCTCTCTCTTTTTCTTTCCAACAGACCTTTATGGTTGAGAGCAGTCTCTGATTCCTGAAAGCAAAAGGTATTTTTTAATGTTTCTTTCGTCGTCTTCTAGGTTATTGGTGCAGCCAGCTCTTGTGAACCAGGTTGTCAGCCCAGCTACCTGGTAATAATTGGCAGACATTGTCTTTTCTAGAGAGATCATATAGTTTGGGGATTCTCCTCATTTTGTGCCTCAGGTGATGAGGCACTGTAGTATCTGTCAACCTTTGGCAGTATCGTTAACCAAGTTGAGAATGAATACATTGACATCCACAATGCCCGGATTTATGCTTGCTTTCTCCAGTTCTCTGTGGTCGATAGCAGAAATGCTCCCTACTCAATAGCAGATGGACATGGTTGGGGATCAAGACACCCTATTTTGTGGGAAGACCTTGTTTGTCATTTCTACTATTGAGACAGACCACATAATCCTTCTGTTATCCCAGAGTGTGAGCAGCAACCTCTGTGGCATATTTTCCTTATAAAAAGCACAAAGTTTGAGCTCATCATCCATGTTAATGTGTTTCTGGTGGCCAGTGGCTGGGAAGGCAATAATGGAGCTTCATCCTGAAGCAGCTGATCACTGCCACAAAAAAAGAGCAGTGTTTCTGACTTTTATAGGTGTTAGTGATGTCTCCTCTTTCATTATCCTTTTGGTAATTTTGTATCTTGTCTGTTTTTTTTTTTTCTGGGTCATCTTAGCTAAAAATTCACAGTTTTTGTTGATCTTTTCAGAGGAACAACTTTGATTCAGTTTTTGTTTATTGATTTTGTTTTCTATTTCATTTTGTTAAATTTTGCTCTAAACTTTCCTTCTTTTTACTTGCTTTGGAATTATTTTGCTGTTTATCTAATTCCTTAAAGAGAAAAATTAAGTTATTGGTTTGAGAATGTTCTTGTCTAATATAGGATTTACAGCAATAAATGTCCCTGAGCACTGTTTGAGCCTCAACCCATAAATTTCTCTTTTTTTAAAATTTTTTTATTCAGCTCATTGTATATCCTGTTGTGTAATTTCTCTGTTGACCCACTGGTCATTTAGAAATTGATTCTTTAATTTCTAAATATTTGTGGATTTTCTGAAGTTTCTTTTATTGTTGGTTTCTAATTTTGTTTAATTGTGATTAGAGAATGTATTTTGTGTGATTTCAGTTCTTTCAAATTTAGGAGACTTGGTTTATTCACTAGCATATGCCATGTCCTTGAGAATATTCTAGGGGTACTTAAAAGGGATACATATTTTGTTGTCAGGTGAAATTTTTCTAACTAGATAAAGACAGTTCTTTTTGCAGTGCTAGAGAGCTAATGGGGTCTGTATTTCTCTGGGAATTTACTCTCTTAGTAGTAGTGTTTGGGCATAGAACTTGCTGGTGGGAGGCAGAAAGAAGGATGTTGAGGAGCAGAAGAGTTACTGTTTTAATTATTTATAATGTCTTAAGGATCATAAGTCCTTTTATTTGTGATTGGAGCTTTTGGTCCATAAAGCCACAGCACAGAATCGCGCCACCACTGCTTGTCTGATCATAACATCCTCTGGTTGCATATCGAGGAAGTGAAAATATCTTTTGAGGTCTGATTTGCAAATCTAGATATTTGATTAAAATGATGGTCACACTGAGAAATCAATCTTATATTTGTTTTTATGTCTTTAAAAAACTCTCTCTTCACTAGAAATATCTTAATTTTTTTTACTTTTACCTAAGTTACATGTGAATCCAAACCTGAATGGCTTCTCAGATCACTTGAGATGTTGTGTAATATGTTGTAGTTTATAATTTGATAAAATTCAATGACTTCCTGATGCATTTCATCATTTATCACTAATTAAAATTACTGGTCCTTAAGAAAAAATATTCTTAAGCTGGTGAGTTGTTTTTTCTTGTGCATTTTCACACCTCAGGTTTTTCTATTATTAACATCTTGCATTGGTGTGGTACATTTATATAACTGATGAACCAATATTGATATACGTAGTGATTTTTGGAATGTATTTGTGAACTAGTTTAATAGATTAATAGCTCCTATATTTCTTATATATACTCAGTCAAGATAACTAATATATACTACCATTTTAAAATATTCTTAATGACAAGAAAACAATTACTCTGATCTTTTTAGGGTGGAATAATTAATGATGGTTCTGAATTAATTGGTCCTGCTGAAGCTCACTCAGACTCCTTCATTGATACCTTTCCTGAGTATAGTACAGAAGGTAAGAGACTTTAATTTTTTTTTTTTTGCATTTAGAAGTTTTTCTTGTAGAAGACTGTAAATCGTATCTATATAGTAAAAAATAGATATATTTAGGAATTTGAGGGGATTTTACTGATTTTTTTATGTAAGATTTTTTTTTTTAGATTTAATTATCTCTGATATTGGGTGCATTGGTATTGGGTTGATAGTATCTCACATTTAATTAGAAGTTTTTTATTAGTGGTTTATAAAATAGTGATTCATCCTCAAATTAATGGCATCTTAAATTTGATGAAATGGTATATTGTGTAGTTTAGTGTTTAGTAAGGCATTCTTATATGCTAGACAGTATAATTTGTGGTATAAGAATGTTTTACTAAAGTTTATTTAGCAGTATCTTACTTTTAGACAATTTCAAGGCTGGCTTTAAAGATTTACTTATTTTAATTACCTAAAAAGAATAAGACTAAGATAATTTCAATTTTTTTGATATGTTTTCTAATAACATGAGTCTAAACCAAAGCAATATTTGTACTTTTAATCACTTTAATTCAAGAATGTTTACTCTTTAGTTTGATTCCTTTATTAAGCCATACTTGAATTTATATGAAAAATTTAATACATATGTTTTAGCTTTTGGATTTCTGTAACTAGTGTTTTTTCAAGGAAGATAATGGAATTAAAAAGAAAGATGGGCGCACTGGGTTGTGGCTCAGTGGTAGAGTACTTGCCTAGCATGCACGAGGCACTGGGTTTGATCCTCAGCACCACGTAAATGTTAAATAAAGATATTGTGGGGCTGGGGATGTGGCTCAGGCGGTATTGTGCTCACCTGGCATGCGTGCGGCCCAGGTTCGATCCTCAGCACCACATACAAACTAAGATGTTGTGTCCGCCGAAAACTGAAAAATAAATATTGAAGAATTCTCTCTCTCTCTCTCTCTCTCTCTCTCTCTCTTTCTAAAAAAAAAAGATATTGTGTCCACTTAAGAATAAATATATTTTTTAAATTTTATTTTTTAGTTGTAGTTGTATACCATATCATTAATTAATTTATTTTTATGTGGTGCTGAGGATCAAACCCAGGGTTTGCCAGAGTTATAGACAAACATTGTTGACAGTAATTTTTCTCCACAACCTGTCATGCTTTTTAGGAAAAAAAATAATCTATTCTCCATGACCTGGTAGTCATAGTCCCTTTGCAAAAATTTAAAAAAAAGTTTAGCCCTTGCTTGGGATGCTAGTGTGATCCTAATTCTAGAACTGGTTTCCTTGAAAAGTGACTTCTCTGGGAATAAACTTATCATTCTGTTGCCTCGGATTCCTCACTCATCAGGAAGAGGAGTAGATTTTTTCACCTGCAAAATATACTGATTCTTTATGATGTCCAATATCAAACAAGTAGGAAAGTTAGAAAGATTTGTAATTACATATTTATTAATGAGGAGGAGTGTTGTTCTTGAACATGTAGACTGTTTCTTTCCTCTCTTTTATTTTTTTTATACAAGAATCAAAGGTTGTGTGATATGGGAGTGATTATGTTCTTTTGATAGCCTTTGTTAACTAGATGGGAGTCTACCGTGATGAGGAAAGGGTATTAGGAGTCTCTTTTAGTTTAAGGTAGTCATAATGGGAGCAGTGCAACGATCTTTTTGTTCATTTTTGTAGTCTAGGAGAGAAGGAGAAGGAGGAGCATTATTATTAGGAATAATTTTTCTTGGGATGGTGTGCTAAATATTGAGGCTGTTCAAGTGAACAGGTGGTTGTATTAATGCTAAAGGAGAAACAAACTAAAGCTAGGGTGAACCTACAATTTATTGTTCAAATTGAGATACTTCTGAGAATTAAAGCCAGTGCTGTATTAGTAATTATACCAAGATCACAGGCATAACACAGGACTACCCCATAACCCTCCCAAAGCAGTTGTTTTAGAGTTTACCTGTAAATTTTCAAAAAAGATGTATTTTCTTTGGAAGGACTTATTTCTTAGGAATGTGTAATTCCTTTTATGAAAGAAATGGGGACAACATTTTTGTTAAAAACACAGAAAAAGACTTATGCACCTAAAACTAATATTGACATTTTATCCTGTCACTAAAGTTTAGTGTTTCAACTGCAGTACTATCTCTAAAACATCTGTGGTTCATGAGACCGAAGAGTATGAAACTGGAAATGCTGTTAATGCTTATGTTTCCTTCCCCATCCCTTTTAAAAGCCTTTTTGTCTGGCTAATTAATCCTGATGAACAAGACACCTAAGTTGACAAATACAGATAGATAGCATTGTCAAAAAGCTTACAAATTCATTGTTATTTCAGAGGGAAAATGAGTAGTAAATATCATGAGATTGTCTGATATAATAGGAAAGTGGAAGATTTACTTTGTAAAAAGTCTGGAAAATACAGAGACAACCACAGGAAAGGGCATTCTGTAGCAACAGAGCAAGAAAGGTGACATCCAACCAAGCCCCATAGGTATGCAGTGAAATGGAGGATCGTAAAGAGATCGTATTGACAAATGCTTGTAGTTTGGATTTAGAGCCGAAATGTGAGATGATTTACTCCATAACAGTTTCTTTGAGTGTAGTATTTCAAATGATGTCTGAAAAATGGATTGTCATTTTACATACTTAAGAATTTGTTTCTTGGTGGAATAAGCCAGAGGGGTAAATCTTAATACAGCCTGCTCTTTTTCAAGATTGTTTAATTGCAGTTAGAAAGACAAGACATAGCAGTTTGTTTTCTGTTGCTGTAACAATATACCAGAGACTGGGTACTTTATAAAGAAGTGAAGCTTATTTTGTTTATGGTTTTGGAGGCTGAAAGTCCAAGGTTGGGCAGCACATTTGTTCAGCCTCTGGTAAATGCCCTCATGGCTATGTCATAATGTGGTGGAAAAGCCTAAAGGAGGGGAAACAGCTTCATGCAGAGGCAATCATATGGTGAGACAGGAACCTAGAGACTGGGGAAGGGTCAGTCTAGTTCTTTTTACAACAACCCACTTGGTAACTAATTGGGGTCCCATGAGACCTACATTAATTTATTCTGAGGATGATGTCCCCATTGACTTCATTACCTCTCATTAAGTTCTTTTAACTGTTATATCACCTAACATTGTCACACTGAGGACCAAGCTTCCAGCACACACGCCTTTTTGGGACAAACCATATATAAATCATGCCACATACCAAGTTTATCACATTAATGCAATCAACAAATCCTAATTTACTATGGAATCAAAGTAGTGATGGAAACATGAAAATCTGGGATATATCCTTTTGTGTTAAAATTACAATTGTTTTATAGTACAGTAGAATAGAGAAACCCCTTTGAGATGTCATGAAATCAATAACTTTGTGATAAATTAGCAACTGTATTTTATTTAGCATGAGGCTGAACATTATGAAATTATTCTGTAGATTTTTAGACAAAAGGTTAACATTGTTTTGCATTTTTAAAAAGAAATGTTGGTTATTATTTATCTCCTTTGTCCATTGCAATTAAACTATATTTTCTCAAAGATGAGAGGAGATATAATTGATAGTTAACATTTTATTTCCATTTTAGGCTTCTGTGTTTTATTTGAATTAAACTTAGCTATGAAGTTACTATGACATTTGTGGAAACCTGCCCAGATGGTGCATGGGAACTGAGCATCTTGACATGTTTCTCTCATTTGTTGGCCTGTTTGAAGGATGCAGGTGGCTTTACTGCCATGCTGCCCTTGATATTGGTGCCTTTGATGTTGGTTTAGTCTCATCTGGTAACCTGTGTCATTTCCTCTTCCTAATACGCTACTTGACTTCCTTTGCAGTTTTAGGAGGGATGTTATCCAGCTTCATGCAGCAAATAAGGGAAAATAATTAGGTGATCATAACCACAAGCAGAATATGAGAGATTGGCTTATTGTATGTAGCAGATCTTAAGATTTTTTTTTTTTTTGTGGTGCTAGGGATTGAACCTGGGGCCTTGTGCATGCAAGGCATGCACTCTATCAACTGAGCTATACCCCCCAGCCCAGATCTTATGATTTTTAGATGTGCCTTGGAATAGCAAAATCTACCAGTTTTTTAGGAGGGAGTTCATGGGGAGGATGTCTGTGAATTATGAATTAAGAACTCACAAGTACTCATTGTAACACTGATGGAGATAAGAAATGATCTATTAAGCAGTCTTAAACCATCCATCTATTTATTTATTTATTTATTTATTTGGTGCTGAGGATTGAGCTCAGGAGCACTGTACCATTGAGCTATATACCTAACCCTTTTTGCTTTCTTTTTTCAGACAGGGTCTTGGCTAAATTGCTTAGGGTTACTAAATTTGCTAAGGCTGGCCTTGAACTTGCAATCTTCCTGTCTTAATCTCTTGAATCACGATTATAGGCATACATCTTGGTACCCAGCTAACTAGCCATTTTAGATTAAATGAGGTATAGAATGTATTATATATATACACATATATATTATATATATAATATATTGCAGATATTTTTGGAGGATAGCATATATTGCTGATTTTTATAAGGGTTTCCGTAAAATGACATTTAGCTCAAGATTTATGTGTTTATTTGATGAAAAGGCAATTCTTTTCTATATGTAGACAAGCACAAAGATTGTGGTTAAACTGTTACACTGAAGTGTTGATTATAATTAAAATATTGGAGGACTAATTGGGGAAAGTGTTTTAGTTAGTTTTTTTGCTGTTGTGACCAAAAGACCTGACAAGAATAGTTTTAAAAGGAAAAGTTTATTTTGGGGCTCATGATTCCAGACCTTTTAGTTCACAGACAGCTGACTCCATTCCTTGGGGCTGAGGTAAGGCAGGCATCATGGTGGAAGAGTGTGGCAGAGGAAAACAGCTAGGGACAGGGTACCTGGAAGGGGGGTGGGGAGAGAGAAGAAGAGAGGAGAGGAGAAGAGAGGGAGAGGATGGGTAAGACATGCCCCCAGGGACCTACCTCCTCTAGCCTCACCCTATCTGCCTTCATTTACCATTCAGTTAATCCCTGTCTGGGAATT